CAGAGTGTACAATTCTTTGAAATAAAAAGATGTGTGATGTATACTGCTACTTGCCAGTAACTGTAAGTGTAGGTATGCTTATGTGTAACAAAGGGCAGAAGTTAAGTGTGGGGATACATGTAGCAGCTGTACAATTTCTAAGACCTTGTGAAAAACTGGGACACATCCAAGCACTGATGCCTATAAAAATAGAACAAGTGAGCAAAATCTATGTTGTTAGAAGCAGAGGGCTGATTTGATAACAATGAACCATGGCACACACTAAAAGCAAAACTTAAACTGATTTTTGTGGTGCTCAATTTAAGTTAGGGATTTTATCTCACTGGAGAACTATGGTGAGAAAGTGGACATTATTTAACTGACTTGAGACTCATTTTTTTGCTATTATTTTTGTTTGTTTTTGTTGTTTTTGAGACAGGGAGGCACTTACTAATAATGTTGAGTTAAAAGGTACCAGATTCCTATGACAAGTCACAAGATAATGCTATACTCATCAGCATAAGCTAAAGTACCTGGACATTGCCAACTATAATGAAATCATTGAGAATGCCATAGCAGGTATCCTGAGGAGAGGTTTTTAACAAATCTGCATTTCTAGTTCATATGGAAATGCTAATTCTACTTATGAAAGTAGAGTGCAGACAGGATATTATTATAATTAAGTCCTTATGACTATAAAGATGTAGAAGGATTCATTAATGATGTTATAGACAGGTTTAACATAGAATATAATCAATGTAGCCAAATAATTAGTTGTACATTTCAGGCTACATCTGGATTTTGTGTGATCCTGTTTACTTCCAAAGCTAAACAGGAATAATGCTTCATGCTACTTAGGGTACTTAGATATGAGCCAGTTTTTATTTTTCTTGCAGCATTTGTCCCTGGAGAGAGCCGGAATCTTCTAAAGCCTCTTTGAGAAAGGCAGTATGTTATTTTAAAGTAGTAGTTAAGACCATCCTACTTGGGTGATGATGGTTGTTTCCCATGGCTAACAGCCATAGTCACCTCACAAATAACCCAAGTATGTTCATTTTTGCCAAGCTGCTCACAAACATGCCCACAGTGATTCTGGAAAAATAGCCTGTATATGTTTCAGAAAGTCATCTATGTGTTTCTCTCTTGACATTTCTAAGGAATGAAAGTAGTAGAGGAGTTAATAGCAAGGTAGTTTAGAGGGGAATGAACATGAGGGTGAGATGTATTATCCAATTTTACACTCTATTGATGTATCAGAAAGTAGGAGATTATAAAAGAGGGAAAACCAGGACTTAAAGAAGAAATGAACAGGGTGTCCAGGGTGTCTGAGAGACTACACTGTGCCAGGGAAAGTGTATGGATACATTACTCTGTGAATGCTGAAGTTCACCTTATGAGGGGGCTAATATTCTAATACTTACCAATCATAGAACTCACCTTTGGGGCCAAGTATTGGGAGAAAGAATTTGCTAAAATTCTGTCTGAACATTAATTCCATTGCATTATTGACTTACATAATTGGCATCAAGCTGAAATTCTAATTGAAATAGACTGAATTTCTGAACATTCTATATTAAACTCTGATCTTTCTTTAAAGATTGTATTTTACCTTATGTGCTCATAGTAAGTCAATTAACTTAAACCAAAGTTGCCCCAAGAAACAAACTAAACTTAATGAAGATGAAAAAAAAAGCATCTTAATTGCTTTTTGAATTTTTTTCTAAGCAAATATGTACTTGTGATTTTGTCCTCTTAATTAGGTTAACTATTTCTATTGTGATTCAGATTATTGGTGACTTGTATACTATAACTTTTTTTTAGGGTCATTATGGAGACAAATCCCAAATGTGATTGATTTTACATTCATACTCCTACTGGTGTGAAATAGTTTGTGCATTAAATGTCAAACATTGTGTTTGCTTGAAACACCTCCTAGGTGGTCATCTCATGCTGGTAGCTTAAAATTGTTGGTATTAGACCTGCAAAAACCTATTCCTTTCTTCAGAAAAAATCCTGTCTACTGATGGAGGCATTGCATTTACTCTTGATAAGTCTAATCCTTCTCCCCAGATCATCTAGGAATGCACTGGGTCCCCAGAAGGCCATACCACTTATCTGGCATGGTCATTGAAATTAAGGTAATCCATTAGGTCTCTGTCCACTGTACCTTTTTTCCTTCTGACTTTAGAGGAATAGCTTACAACAAGAGAATATATACTGCATCAATGTCATTGTATAAGCAAATCCTTCATTTCTAAGAACACAAAGATACTTGGCAGGGATGGTCAAGCCTTTTAGTAGTACATGGGAAGACAGGATGCTCTTCTCTTATCTCAACATCCTCCCACTTATCAATCTAAACTCATTTTTCCATTCACGGTGAGAACTATATGAGGCAACTAACCACTTTAACTAACCATTTCTTCACTGGTCATAGGAGCTCAAACTTTCAACAGCCAAGTCATAAACCACCAGTGGTGGCACATTCTTGGCTTCTTGGGCTGGGGACTGCTCATCACCACTGACAGAGGACATTTTGACTTCTGTGAAATGAACTCACAGTACAAATAAAAGTAATTAACTCCATAAACCTTGAATTTGGGACAATTCAGATTCTAATACATTAAGTATTTTCTTCAAAGACAAAAGGTTTTATTTTCTCACATAATCTGTAAGAGTTCATCTACCTTTAAAGTGATAAAATGCTGTCACCAGAGAGAGAGAGAGAAGAGAGAGAGAGAGAGAGAGAGAGAGAGAGAGAGAGAGAGAGAGACTTTGACTATTTGACTATTCTGGGGACAAGACAAATACCAGCATTGTGAAACTGTGAATGCTTCTTTGGGGCTTATGCTCTGGTGGGATTTGATAAGGATTCCAAAGGTTTTTTTTTTTTATTGCAATGTCTGTAGCTGATGCTGTGCCCTGGTTAGTTTTGTCAACTTCCATAAAGAGTCCTGTAGGCAAGTATTGGGACATTTTCTATATTAGTAACTGACTGGTGTGGTAGGTCCCAGCCCTCAGTGGGCAGTACCACCACTGCAGATGGACCTATGTAGATGGACCTGGGTTGTACAAGAAAGCAGACTGAGCAAGCCATGAGGAGCTTCAGATCCTGCTTCCAGATTCCTGCCTTGAAATCCTTCTCTGGCTTCCTTTGATGACAGACTATGATGTGAGGTATAAGGCTTTCCTCCCCAAGTTGCTTTTGGCCATAGTGGTTTCTATCAAAGCAATAGAAATCCTAGGACACCATGTAAATAATATGCATATTTATATATACATGAGATATTTATGATCAGAAAAATGGTCCAGAATGGGGACAGAACAAATGGAACCTCTTCATCTGGAGTTTCCTCTAACAGATGTGAAATAATCAAAATGATGACTCAGAACTATTTCTGTTGATGCTTTAAGGTTGCCCTTGAGAAGTGTCCATAGGATTATAAGGGAAACAGTTGAATTTCAAAGACTTTGCTGGTGCCAAGAAGCCAAAAGGAGATCAAGAGTATTCTATGTGTTCAAGGGTGGTTTACTGGCTCAAACCCTGAAAGAGTCAAAATATTTTTCTTTCTCCTACATCCTTTGATAGTTGTCTGGTACAGGAACCTGCATGTATTTGTTGCCTCTTGATTGGTGATGTGAGTCTTATAATGTCAGCAGTAGGAAACTGACTACAATGTGTACAATTTGTTCTGCAGTGTTTTTACAACATTGATTTTTGTTTTTTGTACTCTGTGAATGCTTGGATTGCAAGACAGAAGGAAGGAAGGAAGGAGGAAGGAAGGAAAGAAGGAAGGAAGGAAAGGAGGAAGGGAGGGGAGGAGGGAGGGAGGAGGAGGGAAGAAGGGAGAGACAGAAACAGGTAGGGAGGAAGGGAGGGAGGGAGGGAGAGAGAGAGAGAGAGAGAGAGAGAGAGAGAGAGAGAGAGAGAGAGAGAGGAAGAGAATATTTAGGACAGAATAAAGGTCTTTGGCTTACCTAATCTCATCTTTCATCTCTAGCATCAGGGACTGAGGGAGATGTCTGGTATTTGAAACTCTCACTTGAGTGACTATGGTGTTAGCCCCTTATGGATCTTCCCACTTGGTTGGGTCATTGTGCAGGAGTGCCAAAAGATTATTTACACCTGTTTGATATCTGCTTTCACTGGAGAGCTGTCTGTAGACTTGGAACTCTTTGTAAATGACAAACTTTCTGATCTACTTCCCTGTATAGGAACATTTTGAGAAACAAGTGGCTTTAGAAACTGGTGCATTAATGCAATGTACCATTTGAAAGATAATCCCAAATCCCATCACTCATATGTCTGCCTGTGGGTTTCCTGGAGAGTGAGGTTGATTTGAGGATCAAGGATCAGCTGCTGAGGCTGGCACTTAGGAAAGACAAGCCAAGCATTCACACCCCAGACCACTCAATACCAGCATTGTCTCCAGTCCATCTTTCATAAGGGGGCTCCAAGAGGGGGGAGGAGATGGAGTGAGGAGAGAAAGTAAACCTTTTAAATTCTCCAGGAGAGGACTAGAAAGGGTGGATACCATGAGAATATGGAAAGCCATTTGCCCGGACTAAGAAATTAACTTTGGCTTTCAATCTGAGAGTTTCTTCTCTATGTCTCATCTTGCTGGTCCCTTCCTCAGCAAGTCTTCCTATCCATGTGCATGTAGCTCCATTTGTCAAGGTTTGTATCTCTCGTGCCATGCCTCCCTCCTTCCTCCCTGGACCATTTCTGTTGCCCCTTTCTAGCTTGAGCCCACCTCCTTCTCCCCTGTCTTGAACAGTACCTCTGAGCCCCATCCCCTCTTCTTAAGAAAATCAGCCAGGCCTCAGATGGAGCTGTTGTCCTGACAACCCAAAGGCGCATCAGGCTTTCATTGAGTCTGGCTGCTGTTGAAGGGGGCAGTTGTGCAAAGCGAGGGGCCACGCTGAGGGAAGGGGGGGGGGGGATGACGCGGCGGGGCTGTTGAAAACCAGCAGGGTAGGGGGAGGTGCTGAGAAGAGAGAGAACACGCCAGGGACTGGAGGGAGAAACTGGAAAGGGAGGAGGCGGGAGAGAGCTCCTGGGTTGCTGCTGCTGCTGCTGCTGCGAGAGGCTGTTTCTTTACTCTCCCTGGCAGGCTCTCCTGCTGCCTGGGAAAGTGGGTTACAGAGCGAAGGAGCTCAGCCCAGACTCTGGCAGAGAAGCGGCCAGCCACAGAGAGTCCAAGGAAGCACCCCTACCGTTGGTTGACAGTCGTCTCCTAAATATTAAGCGTTTTAGATTTGCACTCTTTCTTCGGAAAATTTGTTCCTTCACTTTCTCCCCCACCCCTGCTTGGATTTGATGAGAGCTTTGTTAAGTCTCAGAGGGGAAAGAGACTGAGCGAGGGAAAGAGAGAGGCAAAGTGGAAGGGAGTGCGCGCTGGACCCGCCCGAGCAGCCTTGGCAGTGGCTGCTAGCCCAGCGCGCTAGAGCCCCTCTCCGTGGCCAGCAGCGCGCACACGGGAGTCCACCGCGGACCAACTCGCCGAGGCCACCATGGTCGGGAGAGTTCAGCCCGATCGGAAACAGTTGCCGCTGGTCCTACTGAGACTGCTCTGCCTTCTTCCCACAGGACTGCCCGTTCGCAGCGTGGATTTTAACCGAGGCACGGACAACATCACCGTGAGGCAGGGGGACACGGCCATCCTCAGGTAGGGCTTGCGGGCAACTTTTCTGCTGTGTGTGTGTGTGTGTGTGTGTGTGTGTGTGTAGAGTCTTGGACTCTAGCTGCATGGGATTTCAGGCTTCTTGTGTGTGTGTGTGTGTGTGTGTGTGTGTGTCCCTTGTATTGATTAGCTGGAGACAAAATTCAAAATTCAAGGGATTTTGGTCCCTGTCAAGAACCAGTGGTGCTGGTGGAATGTTGTTCACTTCTTTGAAGGCCGTTTTCTCTAGTCAAGAAGGCTGAACTTCATCTATGGCATTAGTGGCAAGGGGCTGTATTCATGCTGTGCTAATTGCTCGCGCTTTGCTCTTAGAGTTTTGTTGAGGTTCAGGCACAAGAGCAGCTGAGTTATGGCTCTCAAAGAGTGGTACGCAAGGCTGTATTATCCATGTTCTTGTGTGTGTGTGTGTGTGTGTGTGTGTGTGTGTGTGTGTGTGTGTGTGTGTGTGTGTGTGTGTGTGTGTGGTGTTGCTCAGCAAGGCTCTCAGCCCATCCTAGCAATAGTTCTGATAGAAGACTTGCTGGAACGATCTCTCAATTGACATCCTGGGCAATAAATCAATCTTACAACTTTGGAAGATTACTGTGGCTTTTTTTGGAATGTGGATAGAAATCAACACAAGAAAGAAGAGAAAAGGAGAAAATGGTTCGACCCTAATCGCAGGCCGTTAAGAATAGAAAACTTAAACACAGAGGTGGAGACCACACATTGACTATTGACTTCAAAGTCTTATTCCTATGCAGGTCTGCCAGGCTCAGCAATATAATTTGGGATGGGAATTTGGAAGAGCATCCCAAGTCCTTGAGAGTTTGACCCTTCTAAGGTAGAGAGACTTGGATGGTACCTAGTCATTCTTCTATATCCTTAAAGCCCACAGCTTCCTTCCTTTCTCTTTTACCTTCCCCCTCCCTAGTTTTACTTGACTCTCTGGCAGACAATAATAAAAAATGGGGGAAGAAAAAAAAAAAACCATTCTCCTTGGGGATCTTTTAAAATCTCATTTCCTCCAAATATAATGACCCAGTGTTGGTCTGTCTATCTAGGTACTATTGCTGGTTATGGCAATAAAAAACAGTATGCCATAGGAAATCAACCTGTAATCTGTGTGGAAGGAGCTGATAGTGCATAAACTCCGGGGCATCAGGGAGCTGTTCCATGGCAGAGCTGCCGACAGCAGCAAAGTTTTCTTTTCTTTTCTCAGAAATAAATTTGGTTGGCTGTGACAGAATGTCCTGCTTTGGGATCTCTAGCCTTGTTAAAGATGAAAATGTGTGTGATGTGGTATGACATGTGTTTTGTGTGTATGTGTGTGTTGAGTGTACAGATGTTGTTTCAGAAGGTAAAGAGTAAGCATATGATAATGTGTGGGTACTTTCTTCTTTTCCTGAGCTTTGAGTGATTATGACTCCCAAATACCCTCCTATCCAGAGACTTCCCTCTTGTAGCTCTCCAGCTTTGTCAACCTGTATGTGTGATTTATCCACACAGAATACTACGATTTATAGAGTAATTTATCTGTTTGCAAAGGGATTTGGACATAATGCAGAAAATATTTTTGCAAACACACAACCATGCCTTCTCAGCTGCTGCTATTCGTATTCCCTAATATCATTAACCCTTTACTAGCAGCAAAATTGTGTGTTCATGCTTATCCTAGAAGTGATTTTTTTCCAGGATTGAAGATGAGAACTGTATATACTCCAAATGTATCAAACTTTCGATTTTAATGATTTAAAAGTTTGCAATATCTTTGTAAGTCAATATCATCTGTATCCTAGGTTATATGGGAAGCATGTGTGTGTTAATCAGAAGAAGAAATGGATTCTGGTACTTCTGTGCAACGGAAGCATAGAAGTCTACATGTAGGAGAATCAATCTCCTTACATAAATATCTGTATATGATATGTATGTGCTTTTGCATGGTGATGGCTCAGAAGAAATGGAGTTTTGTTCTTTTTAGTATTACAATTTATCAGATTTTACAGTGTGGAGATGGAGCATGTGAGAAATGATAGCAAATGCAGCACAGGTTATGCCCAGAGAAAGGGCAAACAAACAAACAGCATGCAACTAAGTCACCTATGGGAGTCCATTGCTTCTCCAGACCTCACCTAACATGACCCCCTTTAGTTGTTTTGTTAATGTTCTTTGACTTAGACAAGGCTTTATTTATGAGGTTGGTGGAGCTTTATCAGGAGTAACTGTGGGGAGAGTTACCTTTGTTTCCTTAGCTGACCTTCTTCTCAATCTCTTTAACTGAATCCAGTCTGCTTTGTGGGTCAGTTTCCTGGTGAAGAATGAATAGTGCTTGCTCTTGCTTTCTGGTTTGCAAGTCTAGCCTGGGAAAGGCATGCTTGCACTTTATTTGTAACATTTAGCTGGGAGTGTGAGCTTCCCGGGGAGGAGAGGAAGGAGAACTTGATTCACTGGCACCCACAGAAGATGTTTGGCACAGAAAAAGTGAAACGGCAAGAAGAGAAAAATCCTCTCTTAGTAAGCGTGTGGCCCTGAATAATTTGAAATGGCAATAGGATACAAGGGAGGCTTGTAGTTCTGATGGTCCAATGGCAGGAGCTTAGCTGATGTGTCTGTCTCCAAAACATTTTCCTTCTTATTTCCATAAAACAAGAATTTCTGTAGGAATTTAGGAACTGATAATTATTTTTATATAATATAGTCTTTGATACAAGTGTGTTGTATAAGGGAGTTGACCATCTTGTTGTCATATTCTATTAATTCTTTCATTTTGAAAGACATGAAAATAGTAGAATTATAACTAAATTTGAGGGAGATAGACTGACACATCCATGCATAACCTGGTTGTTTCTTGGAGGAGACTTCAGATCTTCATGAACACTTGTATAAGGATCTGATGAGAGCCACAACACTTCTGTTCCAAAGTCAAGCAACACAAGTGTGGTACCCAGAACCCCAGTGTAGTAGCAATACAGTGCCCATCGAGATAGAGTGAAACCAAACACACTTTTAGACTGTTTGCATAGGAAAATAGGTGACAAATACATATCTCTGGGATTTACTCATGTTGGTTTGTTTATTAACAAACCCTGACTACTTCAGTGCTATTGTCTTAAATACAGGTTTATCAATTGTTAGAAGAATTTCTAGTCCTTGTTTCATTAATCATTTACCCTGAACACAGACATCCACTGTTGTTTAATCTTGATGTTTTGAAACACTGTAGGTCTCTTGTTAAATCACATACAATTTGAAATAGGTTTTTTTCCACAACAAACTTTCAAATTATGAAATTGTAATGGCCACATTGCCCATCTTATCAGCCTTAGTAGCTTATGCCTGGACAGGTATTGATAGGGTGCTAGATCTCAAACAACTACAGAGATTGAAGAAAACATTCTCATTATTATGCATCTGCTTATGAAGTATCTCTCTTAACAGTCATATGTATATCCATATGAAGATTATAGCATAAGGCTGTATATGGTAAAATATATGGTCTACCCAGCAATGTGATTTTAAGCAATCTAAAAATGAGATACTGAACTGATATTTATGATTCCACTCCTTTTTAATGTTTGAAGGATATTACAGAATTTTCAGGATGATAGTTGATAGTATTTTCCCCATTTAAATGAAAACATATCATAAGTATATGGGCTTTTAAAAGAAACTAAGCGGCAATGTGAATGCTACTTAACTTTTCTTGTCCTAAATTTTAGGTGTTTACTTCCCTGTTTCTGTATTAAGAGGGGGTAAAAGAAACAACAAAAAAGTATGAGATTATTTGACAATAAAATGTAATACATCATGCTAAAACTCAAGAGAAAACATGAATCCTCTTCTATAAGGCACCTGGGATGCCTACATTCACTAAGAAAGTGTCAACACTCGAAAAAACTCCTGGCACAATACTACTTATAATTCACTATTTGAAAACAAACTTTGTGTGCCTACAGTGAAAGTCCATGACAGTTATGAGCTCTCCTTTCTCTGTAGCTAAGTCACTAAAGGTAATCAAAATTTATTGGCTATCCCTAATACTTTAAGGATCATCCATTGCTCATAAAACCCTTCATTAAATATATGTTGTAAAGAATGGAGTTTAACCACTGTATATCATTTGGTTTACAGCATTTTATATAAATTTTACTAAAGAATGATTATGTACCTGTGAATTATACTGTTTGTTGTCATTTATGGCCCAAGAAACAGAACAGGCAAAGCTCATGAGACAAATGCATACTGTGAATTTTTGTGCTTCTACAAATAAACACATGAGCATATATAAATACACATACAATGTAAGGTGAAGGCAATTTTTCTGGTTTATGTAATTTTGACTTCAAAGGAATTGTACAACTGTGGTGATTCATTCATGCCCTTAGTCCATAGGTGAGGGTTCAGCATTTGTGTTTCCCCAAGCTGATCATGCATAACAGCAAACTCAGGGCAAAAAGGATTAATGCACTTTGTTGTGGTCACTGCTAGCCTCAAGTCCAAACAGCTGTGACTCACATGATAGGAAGGGGCCTGAATATGCTGGCAGCCTCCTTGTCCTCACCTGAGCCTTAGCAATACAATTCCTCCAAGCTGTAGCTATTGCTCATGGGTTTCAGTGGATGGTCTGTGCCCTGAATGTGTTGCCTCTGAGGTCCCAAGACACATAAGATCTCGGTTCTAAATTTGGATCTCTCCTTGTAGGCTATGACTTTGAGCAAATCCCTGAATTATTTTGAGCTGCAGAATCAGCTTGAAAATGCTGAAACTGTCTATTTTAGTTACTGTACAGGGTTAAGAAGCTCACAATAGGTAAAGAAGGAAAGTTTGTTGACTGTAACATCTTACCTAAGAATGAAGACCCACTTAGGTTCAAGCTACATGTAGCCAGATGTTTAGTCTTTAGGAAACAGTTGTACAAACACCCTGTTTCTTGAACTTGACTATCTGAGCCACTGGTTCTCAACATGTAGGTCACAGCCCCTTTTTGAGCTGTGTATGTGTGTGTG